TATTTTACCAAACATCACTCATCGATAGAAATCGGAATATATGAACTTTTTCACAAAGAGCTTCATATACTTTACTGCTCTACTGCTAATAGTACCCTATCAGTGGCTTATCTAGAGAACTAACATTAAATAGACTTGTGCGAGATAATAAAATAATAATTTAGTATTTATGTAAATATAATATAAATAAAAGATGACCAGTTGCTCCAGTAGTTATCAGCCATCAGTTAAACAGCAGGTGACCTATATAACCCGAGAAACCCGACTTCGAATGGACCTTTAGGTTAAGACTTTTGAGTCTGGATGGGGTACCTATCTGATAAAATATACCTGGTCTTCCAGCACCCTGTATGAGGGTCGTTAGAAGGTCAACCTTAGATCCCAATCCTCACATCCAATAAAGCCTTCAGACAGCTAACTGACTTTGTATAATGCATATGCCTCGTTTATACCCTTACGCGTTCCGTACAAAATTTTTCATTCGCACACATTCTGTAAATAAGAAATATGCAAGTTGCGCCCCCGCTTTGCATTTACGCTACGCTTCCCTACTTCGAAAGCAGCCGCGGATGTATGTGCCAAGAACTAAAGAATGTTGAATGCGTCTAACAATTACCGTTCTTTGTTCCCCTTTTGTAAGGTTACAGCTCTAACCAGACTTCACACAAGACGCTGAGGGTCAAGGGTTGTCGACGTACTCCAAAGACCATCGATTAAAGTTATAAACACTCAAATGATTCAGGCCTTTTCTGTGTACCTAGTGCATGTGAAGGATCCAAGTTAGGAACAGACAGCCCCATATCTTTCTACATTAGTTTTGTTGTTTCTACATTAGTGCTGTCCCTCCCTAGCGACCTTTAGGATATAAGAGAAGTACAAGTTTTCCGTTTAATACATGCAAAATAAAAGTGCGAGTACCAGTACATTGTAAATATATACAAATATTTTAGTTCAAAACTTTTACGCGTCTTGTACACACGCCAGCACATCAATCTACACATTGACGTATCTTGTTCTGTTGCACTAGAGGCGATTTTTGAACAAAAATGTAGTCTGATGTGCCGTTGTGTGTGAAGTTTGAATTTAGTTTAAATAAGATATTTTAGCTTTGTTGGAAGTTTCTTTAGGGTGAGAAAGAGTGAAGTGGTTTTTATACATATTTAAGATATTAAAAAAATATATAAATAACCCAAAAAAAATGGTTCTAAAGCCTCGAGAGTTTACGAACGTCGTTCTACCGATTTAATGGCTAGTATTCACTGTCGCAGACCTTTCGGTCTTACAATTGTGGTATTGATGCGCTATTGTAAGTTTTTAGAAGTAAAGTTACTGTAGGATTCTCAAATATAACGGCCTAAGCCTTTAGAAATATATTTCTCTGCTGTAGATATAGCGTTCCAAAGGCTGTAATAAATTCTATTTAACAGTTCCAGGCTTTGGAAACATACTATACCTAAAGCTTTTTAAGAGAAGCTAATAACTCTATTCAAACACTTTTAACTTCAAAAGCCCTCTACAAGACCTCACGGTGCTATAAAACCTATTTATAACTCCGCTTTACGTAAATTGCCCATACAATAGCTCTATGACTAGCCTTTTTATCTCTCTTAGGATTACTTTTACCGTTATACGGCCATTGTCCGACTTGCGCCTGTGCTACTGAAGAACTTAAGTACTATAGTACATCCCTTAAACGGCTAATATACAACTTGTAGGTTGTACAGAGGTAATATAAGCAGCTTGTGCGCTTGTTGGGCTATATCAACGACACTATATTTTGTTTCCTTGTGATTTTTGTGTTAAGTTAATATAAAAAATGCGTACTTTCAATTATTTTTCGTGGTAGTGGGCGTTGGAAATTTTGTATCTTACCTAAGTAAGCCAAAAAGTTTAAGAAGTGTAGTGTAATTGTATGTGTGTAGTATGTAAGTGAAACTACTATACTCTATACTACTATATCTCTAGATTGATACAAACGAGAAACACAAAAGCTTACGACATGTGACACAATGCTTGCAATGAAACATTAGGTAGAGCGGAGGAGATTTTTTTAGCCTCGCACTAGGGAAACTGTATCCTGGGTGCCATGGACACACACATAAACAGCCACAAACTACATCCACACTCATAAGAGAAATAAATGTATGCGGCCCGGGAATCGAAAACGGTGCCTTTGCGAGCCAGTCCAGCGTGGTGACCGTTTGGTCACAAAGGCAGAAATTTAATTATGAGATAGAACCCAAATACCAAACTTATAGAGCATTCAAAAGCAGGCAGATAAAGAAAATATATATTAAATTATAACTCACTCTCACCTTCATTCGCACTGGAACTAAACTTGGAGCCCAACTCAATGCAGCCACCATGAACAACTCCATCGGAAATGTTCTAAAATTACGAATAGATAAACAACAATTAAACCATGAACACCGCCGGCATTGTACAATTAAGAAAATAAGAAAGATTGAGCCGCGCCTAAATCAAGAATGTGATGAT